GAGCAGGGGTAGGCAACCTATGGCACGTGCGCCGAAGGCGGCACGCGAGCCTATTTTCAGTGGCACTCACATTGTCCGGGTCCTGGCCACTGGTCCGGGGGGGCTCTGCATTTTAATTTGATCTTAAATGAAGCTTCTTAAATGTTTTAAAAACCTTATTTACTTTACATACAACAATAGTTTAGGTATATATTATAGACTTATAGAAAGAGACCTTCTAAAAACATTAAAATGTATTACTGGCACGCAAAACCTTAAATTAGAGTGAATAAATGAAGACTTGGCACAGCACTTCTGAAAGGTTGCCGACCCCTATCCCAGAGGGTCGTTCCTTTCTGCTTTTCAAAAAGGGTGGCTGGCAGGGTGATCAAATCATACATTAATACATACTACATTATTATAACCATCAGTCATTATAACCTCTAATGCAAATATAAAATCCTACTCCTACAACCCCTCGCTCTTACCTGTTTTTTCCAGGATCTGGACAAAGGAGGCAGGCAGAGACTGTCTCATCCAGAAATCAGGGAGGGATGCTGCACATCCAACATCCAAAGGCTTCCATGAAAGACAGCCCCCCCTTCCTCCGTCTCTCGCCCAATGCAGGCTCTGGGGTGCTCTGGGATGGTGCTCTGGGATAAGTTCTACTTAATCTTCCTCCCAACAGCTGGAAGTATGGGTTGGTGGGCTGAGGTTTTTGTTGGGCCTCCACAATAGCTGTTGTATTCATCTCTGAGCAGTAGCATACATATCTAGTTAGTATGGGTCTTGTAAACGTCATGTCCTGATTTTCATATCTTGGAAGTAGATAGTCTCAGATGGCTCATTAAAATAAATCGCTAAACAGACGAAAGTTTAACTTTTTCAAACACACCTTAACATTGTAGAATTTCAACTCTTGAGAGCCAAAGGTTGTATTGTAAACAGAATTTTCCCAGATAGACATTTATGATCCTGCGGAGCCTTGCTTATGTAAACTGATTTACTTCAAAGATTGACTTTGACCCACTGAAACTGGGCTTTTTATGAAGTGAAGATGCAACTAATGAATGAGGTAGTTTTAAGACAATTACAATAATCCTGTTACACTCTGCTAATAATATAGAACTATTTGTTCCTGTAATATTAAGATTACATATAAACTCCACCTTATAACATACGTGAATTTAGATTGATTGATTTTATGGTAGTGCCTTTCTTAGTCTAGAAATCTTCCCAAAATAATTTCGTGAGGTGAGTCTTGTGAATGATGCTGTAGACAGTGGAACCAGTCCTGCACTCTTCAGTAAACAAAAAATTCCTGCATTGTAGAATAGAATCAGTTTTACTGAGAGCAAGCGTTGGCCAAGACACAACAAAGGTTATCTACCTCTCAAATCTAAATGCTATTGGCTCTTGACATTTACATGTGAACACAGATGCTGGACCTCTCTCAAAGGTCTTAAGAGCCCAAGTTTTTGTATGGACCACAAGTTCACAATCCCCAGATGGTAGCACTGTACAAATGTGAGTTAATACTATTCAGTCTAGATAAACTGCCCTCATAAAAGAGGTTGTAAATAACATCAATTCTGCTCAAATACTGACTTACAAAATAATCTTCTGTTCAACACTAAAGGAATCTTAGGTTCTAAAATAAAGCTGTCATCATCATGGTTAAACAAATTCTAGAGTGGGATAGAAACTGGCTTAGGAACTTCATTTTCCATTACTATTGGTGAAACAAATGGCAAGCATTTTGCTTGAGATTTATCAGCCGCCATCCCCTTTCTTCAAGCATAGGGGAAGATACAGAAATACTAGCTTTATTTTAACTGTACTTAGTCTTACATCTTCATAATGATGCAGTGTTTTAAATCTTGTTCACTTTCAGAATGCTTTGCTTTTTTAAAAAACAAAAAATTAAACTTGTTCAGCCCGATGTCTTAATGGTCTTGCTTAAGTTGTTTTAAACTGGAATACCATTTGTTCTGCGCTGCTAGTTTGTTACTTGTTTACATTAGACTGAGTTTCTTGGTTGCACCTTTGACATGTAGCTTCTTGAGAGGACAGACTTATATAATATTCACTAACTCACAACTATTCAGTGGTCTGAATTTGACAGCAGGAGAGGTCCTTGCAGTTGAAAGCTTTTTTTTGTCCTGCAGTTAAAAGAAGTAATGCATAATGGCTTTCATACAAGCCAATTGGGTGGCCTAATGGCAACTAAGTCCCAAAATGGTGTCTCTTGGTTCCAGAGGCTGAAATACATCTGAGGGCTGCCCTTGCCACCCTTAGGTAAAGTCTTAAGATCATGAAAAACCCCAATAGGAGTCAGTCAGATTATCTAGAACATTGTACACACAAAAATTACATTAAAAGATCATCATTAAGGTTGCAAAGTTAAGCATGCATAAGCTAGTAAATGTCAGAATTACGGTTGCTTGGGCAACTTAATTAGTTCCCCCTGTGCATATGTACTCTGATATAGTCCTTGATTACCTGATCAATATTTTTCCATAGGACCCCTGCTTCATTCAGTGTACAGTTAGAGCAACTATTTCACTATTTTGTTTTCTCCACATTGTTCATTGTGTGGTCCCAGGCACCTGTTTTGTCCTTCCTTTTCAAATCCTGCTCTACAGACAAAATTATTAACATTTTATTTTGAGATTTATCTGTGGCATTCATCACTATAATACTTGTGGAGCACTCAAAGACTAATTAATTTATTTTCAAAACCCCATTGTGATGTGAGTGGGGTGGTGTTATCCCTGTTTTACAGGCCTACAACCTGATTTTTGAGAATGATTTTAGCATTATATAGCACTTAATATGTTTAAGACAGAACTCCCATTGACTTCAGTTGCAGTGGTGAGTGCTCAGCACTTTTTGTAAATCAGACTCCAGGATCGGAAGTCAGACAATCAAAACATGAGGAATACCACACAATTAGTGACCATCTGTGAAACTGTTGATATAAGTGACTGGAATAGAATCACGTAGGAACTGTGTGACACAGGCAGAAATAGAATTCAGTTCAATTCTCCAGGGCAGTTCTTCAGAGAATTCAATTCTTTTCCAGCAATCCCCTGCCTCATTCACTATATGCCTTCCAGGTTCTTCAAAAAGGGAAGCAGGGGTTCTATAGCCCACAGTCTCCTTTCAGTATACACCTCTGAATCATCCCCAGGGCAGGTCCATCCTATACATTGAATGGGAAGGGTGGGGTCTCTAGCATATGATCATGTAACTAAAGACTATATAAATGCATATGCACAAGGGGGCTGAATTAAGGTTTTATGTGGACTTAACTCTGCAATTTTCAAACTTTGAGTTCTTGACTTTTCAACTTTGATGTTCTTTTAATGTAGATTTTTGTGTATCTTAACTTTTAAAAAAGCAAACTGAAAAAGCAAAAATGCCATGTGCCGTATTGCTACTCATATGGGTCATCAGCAGCGTTGGAGCCTTTAGATGCACAGCACAGAGCTCTGCTGACCTAATGGCAGTAAATGATAGTAATAGTAGGTTGTCATCTCTATGTGGACCAGCATGAGAGTGGGATGGAGAGTGGCTTTCAAATATTTGCTGACAGCAGATGAATGGTGGGACTTGGGAATAATGGGTTCCATTCCAGACTTTAGAGAGGAGTGTTCTTTAGGGGGCTCATTTCCCGTCTACCCCCAAACATGACCCCTTCTGTCCCGTCTCCTCCAATCTGTCGCTATTCCAGTCCTTTCTCTAGTCCGTCCCTGGCTCCTCACTGTAGTACTATTCTGCTCAACTAGCCAGTCCCAGTCTCCACTGCTCAGGCATCTTATTTCAGTCCACTCTCTGTGCTCAGTAAATCCTACCCTCATCCCTCCAGACTCCCAGTCCCAGTTCTCCTCTTGCGCCCCCAGCTTCTCATTAATGTCTCCCCATACCTCTTTCTTCCTGTCTCACTGGTTCTCAGTTCGTCTCCTTGCCCCAACTAGTCCTCCTAGGTCCACCGATTCAGCTGTCATCTATTCTGCCTTCATATCAGGTAGCTTACTCCTTTAGAATGTCTGGACCCAGCAGGAGAGTCATTGAGAGCACAGAAGAGACAAGTGCCCTGTCCTCAGTTAAAGTGTCCAGACCTGGCCCCAGAATGGCCTACAGCAGCCCAGAACTGAAAAAGCAGGAAAAGTCATCCTCTGCCCTGGGCAGAAAAAGGCCCAGTACAGATGCAATTTTCTGGGAATTTAGCTGCTCAAATGTAAGATGATGCCACTGAGCATGTGTGAACTAACTTTTATTTCTAAGGTTTATACCTTGACCAAATATGGGCCAATTTTTCACAGAGATTGAAAAAGGTACCTCTCTGACACACAGGCTACCTTGCTGCCACTCCCAGCTTCTAAGGATGGAGATTAGAGCTTTTTAAGGAAAAGTACATTATCTTTGAATGTGGGAAAATGTATTTTTCTCTAGCCTTGTTCTTGGAAACAGCTGAAGAATTCTGGCTGAAATTTTCTCAAAAATTCAGCCTGAGGCAAACACCCAGCATAGAAACCTTCAGACCGAATGATTCAAGTGTGGTGAAATTTATGTGCAAGTGAAAAGAGGGTCCTATAATGGGAAGTATCAAGCAACCTTAATAGGTAGTGGTACCAGCTCCACTTATAATTTATTCCTTATATTAGGGACCTGGAGAAATTAATCCAGTTCCCTTCACAGTAAAATCTAAAGTCTTGAAGGAAATAGACAAAACTTTTTGGAATCTTGGCTATTTGGACATGGGGAAAGACAAGTAGGGTGTGTATTTAAAGGAAATATAAATCTAGCTATAATAAATGTGCTTTTGTGATCCTATTTAAGGTAAAAGATGACAGTAGTAAATGACTTGAGTACAGTAAGTGAAAATAATTAGTTTCTCTTGCTGCAAAATTCATTAACTGGGGTGTGGGGGGGGGGAGGGGGAAGGAGAGATTTCAGTTGCTGTGTATATAACTGGGGCTGGGTTCCTGTTTGACCTAAAGTCTGTCTTGATGCAGCAGCACAAGCCAGCGAGGAGACTGTCATGTTTCACCGTGAACGCAGCACATTTAGGCGTCAGGCAGTACGGCGCCGGCACAATGCAGGGAGTAACCCCACCCCTCCCACATTGCTCATCGGATCGCCCCTCAGGTATGGTATCTAAATGTTCCACCGTCTTTAGCATGCATGCAGCAGACTACATATTTCCCACACCCACTAGCATTTCCAAAAAGCACTTCCTTTCTCTCCTCACCTTTAACCCTTTTTGGGCTGTCTCTGCATGTCTTTGGACTAGCTGAATTTGTGCATGTGTACGTGGCACTTCTTTCCCTCCCTCCCCCGCCCCCCATGACAAGGTTAGCCCATCTCTTAACGTGGCACATGTGGGTTTAGATCAACCACAAAACAAATGAATGGTAACAAACTGACTTATACTCAGTTCTCTTTCATTTTAATTTCGTGTCAGATCTTTAGATACTTAAATTTCAAACATAAATAAGAAAATGTTAAATCAGCATCTCTTTTTTCTCCCAAGGGGGAGAGAGGAGAATAGGAGTACTCACACTTCTCAGGAACTGTAGAGGGGAAGATAGCTGCACCATAAAATTAGCAGGATAATGTAAACAGCAAAACTGTCCTGCAAAAGTTCTAAATCTTAGAATGCAGCAAACCACTGCATAAAGAGCCAGCAATCAACCCTGTCAAAATAGAAGTCTTTGAAATAATTCATAAACTAGCATAATCTTGTTTTTAATAAATCCCGTAATATTGCTTGATGCTAACTCTACTTATATCAAGTACCAAATGTATGTTAAAGTAATAGTCTATATCTCTGTATTCTTAAGGCCTGTCCTCAACCTTCTAAATTAACAGTTAATTGCTCCCAATATTATGAGCTGTCCAGCTTTAAATTTGAGTAGTACTCCTGTAATTTCTTTTACTGAAAGAATACAGGAACTGAGCAAACTAATGCCTTAAATCTTTAATGCTGTGTAAACCAAACAGTTCTTAAACAGGAGGCAAGGAATCATGGCTTCAGCATGGCACTACTGAAGCAACTACTAGACAGAGTTTCTAAAATATCCTTGGAAATCGGGTTTGATGCTTCCAAGGTCTTGTTTTGAGACACTTGGCATCGATTTTTCTATTCTTTGGGGCAAAAGGAGAGAGACACTTAAGTAAAAATGTACACATCTTCTTTCCCACTTTGAAGATGACATTTTATTCTGAAGAAAATGTAAACCTAGTGTAAAACAGTTTACACTTTCCCACATTCCTGCCCGGTTTGGTCATCTCTTATTTCATTCTAAAAATAAGTTGCAGAATTTGACACCCTACTCGTTTCCATGCAGTGGCTCATCCTGGTTTAAAGGAGTGGCGGTGAAAGGAAGTTTCAAATCTGCTTTCTGTGTCTGAACCTTACTCAAGCGTCTCTTCCATTTTCTCCCAAATGTGGGCATTTCTCCATTGTTCCCACATCAAATATCAGTTTTTTCCCCTCTTTCCTCCATATCAGAGTTGCATTGGTTTATTGCAGGTATATAGGCATGCTCCTCCTGAATTTTGGAAGCCACTTTTTAATGAAGATGCGTAGGTCTGACCCTAGGCACTTGTAATCAGCTGCAGAGACAGTGCCAATGAGAGGGAGAAACTGCCCAAGAGACAGGAGCTCAAGAAGCTCAGATAAGTGAGGTTAGACCAGAGTATAGTTAAGGAGTAATTAGTGATAGCTTGGCTTCTGATACCCATCTAGCCAACTTCTATTATTCAAGATACAAGTTAGTGAGTTAGCATTTTTATTGGCTATTATGGTACATAGCAATACTTAATTGAGTTGATTTTTTTAAAATAAACTTTACTAAAGGGAAAAATAGATGTTGATCTTTATTCTTATTGAACATAGATGATGAAAAACAATTTTAAAAAAGTGAACAACTTAACAGTGTGGGCTATAGCAACTCTCCATACTTTCTTGAGTCACCTCTGTGTGCTCTACATCATATTCACTTGCATTGTGTTCTCTGCTCTTCTAACGGAGGGTAGAGCAATTGTTTTGTCTGTAGGAGATCATGCAGATAAGTGTGAGCACTAATCATTGCACATCAGCCCAAGAATGGTAATGTCTGTGACTTATGTGGATCAGAGAGAGCAGAATAGAAAGCAAATGAGGAACTATCTCAGGTGTCCCTGCTGCTTAAAACTGGAGTTGGCAGCTGCCTCCTTCTCCTCACTAGTGTAGACACCAAGATTTCCATGACACGATTGCCTCTGACATACAAGTGGATTTTGTTGTGGGGACAATGAGAGAGCTGAACTTTAAGGACATAACTTCTTATTCAAAGACAAATATTCAAGAACGAGAGAACATAGAAAAATTCCGGCCAAGTAAATTATCTTCTTTATACATGTTGCCCATGCCCCGAATTGTTCCTGTGTAAATGAAAACCAGAACCCATTATCTCAGATCTCTGAACATCTACAAAAAAACACATCACCAGAACTAAACTGAAATTAAGTATTTGAAATATATATGCAGAGCCAAATACTGGTAACAGACGCCTTACTAAAAGTATTATTTGTGATGCCGGCTGGGAGCCCAATATATTATAGTTTAAAATGTCTTAGCCTATTTTATATCTGACTGCCAGTCAACCAGTGTTACAAGTGACCTCATTCTTAGAGCAAGAGGGTCACTGGTTATTTGTCACAAATTTGAGATACAAACTGAAATGTATTTGGAAATTATTCATGTTAAATATTCTTCAGACTTCTACATAACTAGTAGAAATAAAAAGATGTTCCTTTTGTTTGTGTAACTTGGTGTTAATGGGAGTTGTATGTGCACTGAAGAGACCCGTGAAGTAAGAAATAAAAACTTAATGTGTAAAAAAGAAATGCAGAGAAATATATGAATATAATCCATTATGATCTGATTTTAGTAATTTATTGGAAAAGTATTGATCACTGCAAATACATAGGCATTTTCTATCTCTGCTAATAGGAAGTAATTATCTAGTTCCTATATTGCTGCTCAACTCTATTGCTGCAAGTTTTAAACTTTTAATAACAGTTAGGCATATTAACCTTTAGTTGCCCTGATACTGTTTTCTTTAATACTCTTGCCAATGAGACTTTTCTTTCCTAATCTCTTGACTGTGGCATAATATTCGATGTCATAGAGACGGTCATTAGAAGACTTGTGCAATCCCATTTGAAGTTTCCAACATACATTTTTATAAGGATGTCTCAGTAGTGAAACATTTTATTAAAATAGACTAATCGCATTGTGTAACTAGACATTTGGCCAAGAAAAAGATTTTAAATTAAAATATCCAGTAAACTCTGAAGGCAGGGTGATAAAATAGGTACGTAGACATCCGTTGCCCTATTTAAAAACAGACTACTTCCAAACTCCCTGATAAATACCAGCAGTGTGCTGGGCACTTCAGACATAACGCTGTACACTAACATTTCACTGTACATGACCATCTGTACTAATGTCAGACTTTAGATTTGACTTCTAAATTTACTTGTGTTTGAAATGGAATGGCTCCAGAAGCTTTTTGTATTCAGAATTATCTTGTGGACTAGATAGAATAACGCTCCTTGTTGGATATTCTATAAAACTGTTACTCGGTGTTTTGCTTTCTTATTGTCATAGGATTTGATAGCTAAAAGAAGTTAAGTACAATTTTTAACTTATAACTGTGTTTGAAGGAAAATCTATTCAGGTAATTATAGGCTGTTTAGATTAGCCTTATTGCTCTTCTTGGTAATGCTCAACTGAGACAATGAAGCATTCTTGAAGGATGACGCATCTTTGAATCTTATTTCCCTAAGGGCTTCTGTTGCCATGTAGTTCACTGAGAGCCTTGTCTACAGCAGCAAAACACTGAATTAAATAAGGTTGAAAAGCATTCAAACCCAAATATGTTAAAATATGGTATAGTGACTTGCAAGCTTGCTTTTCTCCATGTGCTGTGTGCATGTCTGCTTTATTTTGCATGTGCTTTTTAACACCCATTCTCAAAACATAATCTTGTGGTTTTTTCAATGATTTTCTAAGAAGGGAACTGAAAAGCAGAAGTTCTAGAATATATTCTGTTGCTGTAATCAGGTATAGTCCGCACATATACTTGTATATATACTTAGTTGTTGCCTTGTTAGTCAGCTGTAGAACAGCATATTCCTAAAAGGCACCAGAAACCACCTACACTTTGAACTGCTAACAGGAATGGACAATGATGTTCTGTGCATCACAGGGGAAACTTGTTTTGCCCAACCAAACCATAAAATATACAACATATCAGGGTCCTCAAATAAGATAATTTCTTATTTGATCAAAGAGAGAACATTGTGTATATTACAGTTGTGCAACATGCAGTTTCTTACCTCACCAAATGAAGGAAGATTTAAAAACACAGTAGCCTAGTATGCGATCTGCTAGACACATTTTTAAAATAGCATTTTTTTTTTTTGCTACCTTGTTTTAGAAGATTTTAGTCATGGCTTGGTATAACCACCTACAATGTGTTACTCTGCCCATTTTTTGTCCTTTCAGGTCTGTTTCTGTTGAATAATAAGACTTTATATCAAAAAGGTAGTTTTGAAGTGGAAATAGGTTGTAAGAGGAAAATAGTATTTTTAAAACTGGAAGGGAAATAGGCTGTAAACGCCTCTTGACCCTAGGTGGAAGTATTAGAAAAGTTATTTCTTGGTACGTGTATATCTTTGGGCTTAAAAGAATCTCTGTTCTTGATACCAAAATTGGGTGCTAATAGTTCTAATGGAAAGTTGACACAATAATCAGTTTAAAAATAATCCCAACTAATAACATTAGAAATCTAGTTTTACAGTTTTATTTTACAAAGGTTTTGTACTCTATTCAGCTTGAACAGGTAAGCCAAATAAAGCAATATATCCAGAGTTTATGTAACTACAGTACAGTTACTTGTAAGGTCTACTCCAGAGTTTGACTAGTAACTTGGCCTGAAGGTGTAGAGAACAGAGTGTAGTTGGACAGCCAGCAGGCAAGCAAATGCTCCTATGGGTCCCTGACAAAAGCAGATATTCAGCAGTTCAGCAGCTCTTGCTTTGAGAAGCATCAGAGGCACATAACTATTACAAAGATGGTGTCTCTGATAGTTAAGTATTTTTTTTAAAGTTAAAGTAATATCTTGCGCAACTTTGCCATTTCACATGCAAATGCACATGTCCCTAGAATAGCATTATGTGGGGCTTAAGGACAAATTAAAAAGCAGTAAGAATAAACAATTTTTAAATGGTGTAGTAGAGGATTTGGAATATATTTACTTAGCTAACTTCTAAATACTCTGCTCTACAGTACTCCTGAGTTGTGATAGCCTATTTAGTAGGCCTAATGGCTTTCCTATGGTATGCTTTATTTTAACTGTCTTTTTTTAATAGTTTTGTTTCATCACTTCTAGCTATTTTTTATTATTCCCTGTAATGTTTCCCCAATCCATGTTTTTTCGTAGCCTTCAAGATGGTCAGCAAGACCAGCAATCCACAACACAGGTCAAAGTCCAGTCCCGCCCCCCTTCCCAGGCAGCTGTGCTCAGCGCTAGCGCCTCCTTGCTGGTGAGAAATGGGAGTGTCCACTTAGAAGCATCACATGACAATGCATCTGCTGTAGGCGGTAGCAGTTTGCACGATGAACTTGGTATGCAGGCCTTATGTAACCTTGGTGACATGGAAGTTTTAATGCCGCAGATTTATGGGTAATAATGCACTGAAATTAATTTAAACCGAGATCTTCATTTCAGAAATGTATGGGTGCATTTCTTAGAGGGAAATATTACTTCTGGTCAGTTCCCCACTCCTTCATAATTATTCCTTCCCCCCTCCCCATTTCCTTTAGCAAGTACACTATAAAAACACCCTTAAAAGAGGCATAGATTTAAGGGATGCTGTATGTGCTTTCATGACTTGAACAGCACAATAGATCCAGTATTTACACTCATTAGAAGCTGCTGAATTTAGTTTTCTTGGTCTCTATTGACTCTATTTCATTTTGGTCACAGAGTTTAGCAGGGATTGAAGTCTATATTTTTCTGGTTCAGGATGAGTGTTTAAAAATGTACTGAAAGCATCTTTTTATGGTCTCCAAAGAATTCCTGCTCCTAGTGGGCCATGATATATTGGACCTTCAAATGTGTGTGGAGGGGTTAGGGTGAGGGGGGTGAGAAATCATAGGAAGTTGAATACAGACAATGTCAGTTATTGCAAGTTACAATTGTAAGAAGTCAGCAGCTTAATTCAGATTAACGCATTTTATTGTTTGTATTTTTGAGATTGTCTCCTAATAAAAATTTAAGTTACGTGAATGTTATGCTGCTGCCGTTATAAGCATTTAGTTACCACGATTAGGAAGATATCTTCTGTATGTAACTTTACTGGTCAGTTTGAAAAAAATTTCCACACTTTCCCCCTTCTCTAATGCACTGGGCCATTTTAGTGCCTCTTAATATATAGAGTGTACTTTTAAATCAAGAGGTCTTAAAGCACTTTGCAAATGCTAATTAAACCTCTTAGCCACTTCTGTAAGGTCAGTAAAATCATTACAGATGGGGAAGCTGAGATACAGTAATGTTAAGTGACTTGCCCAAGGTGATACAATAATCTCATTAGAGATGGAAATGGACTAAGGCAGTGGTTCTCAAACTTATTTCATTGGGACCCCCGTCTTTGTGTTTGTAGTCATTTACAACCCCCTACAAGTACATATAGTGCCACCCAGATCTGAAGGCAGAGCACCAGTCTGAAGGCAGCACCACACCAGCAGCAGAGAAGTAAGGGTGGCAATGTGAAAAGTGATATTCGTCAATATCACTTTTCACAGCTGAGTTAGCGCCCCATTGCCATCCTTACTACTGTGCTGTGGCTGCTGCTACCCCAGTCTGACAGCTGGAGCCCCACCACCGCCAGGTGAGGGATTGGGAGGGTGGGGGAAGGGAGCCCAAGCCTGGGCTGCCTCCCAGTGAGGAATTGAGGGAGGGGGAAAGAAGAGCCCATGCCCAGTGGTGGGCTCTAGCTGTCCCCTTTATCCCTGCCTCCTGGGTGTACACAGTCCTTCTGCATGAGCTCCAGCCACCTGGGGCTGACAGCCAGAGCTCTTTAATAAAAAAAAAAAAAGTACACCCAGCTCACACCTCCTTTGGGAGGCCTGCCTTATAGTTTGAGAACCGCTGGACTAAGGTGATCTCAAGGGGTCCTTTCTCTAAACAACAAACCTTGGTTCCTAACTTCAACATGTAAACAACTGCTAATGATTTGGGGGTCAACACAGGACTTCTAGATTCTTGGGCAAAAAACACAGCAAAGATATTAAAATAGGGTACATGTAACAATAACTTTTATCAATGACTGCTAATTTTTTTAAGGATCTACCGATCATAGTTTGAGTGCAGTTCTGTAAAATCATGATGTTGATAAATTAACAGCTAGTCTGTTTTAGACCTCACCAATAATCCCTCATTAGGAGATAAATGTGCAACATCTTATTCTTCACAGTGCAGATGAGAGAATTAGAGTTGCTTTGTGTAGTGCACATTTTAAGTACAGTTTTAGCATAGAACTTACCACTCAAAAGTATCTTCTGGTTCCATTGTGTTCAAATTTTAAAGCATAAGTTTGCATTTCATGATATTGTACTTTATAACATTAACTGCAGAAATGTGAATCATACCCTTTCAAATCACTGACTTTTTTTTGTTCTGTTTTGTTCTACTAGCTGTTCCATTCCTGCAGAGACAGGTTTCTTGGTTGTTGACTCACTGAGTATCTGAATGATTTGATACTTCTAGCTGGGTTGAATGTCTCCTCATCCATTCTTCTTTTGGTCACAAATCGCTGGTCTGCTTCTTAGTTGCTAATCTCTCCAGATCCCTTATCACACATCCTTCTTGTGGCATCTGTGCCAATGATGTCTGAATTTGGTTGACTAGACGTCTTCATTTTTCTTGAATGCTGTGTAGAGTTGAAATTTGCACTTCCAGACCAGGTATCTTCTCCTCTGGTATGTCCACAAACTTGCACTTATGGAACCAGGCATCTTATTTCCTTCAGCAGAAATGAAATCATAGCACATCCAGGGCAGGGCATAGCAATTGTTCCCTCATCACCTGTATTCACAACCTGGTGCAGCCATACCTAAATGGAAGGAACCGCACTTCCTCCTTAACTCCCCTGTCTAAAAGAGCTCCCCAGCCTGAGTGCCACACTATTCAGAAAATCTGTTCTTGCAACCTGGGAGGCTTTTATATATGAAATATAAGGAGCTAATTAATACTACTGTATTTCCAACTGGCAGCGTAGTTTGAGGACGGTCTTTTGGTAGAATTTCTTTAGTTAAATAAGTCCTATGTTCTCAGTTCTGTATTCTCTCCCCTTAGTTATATGTTGGTAGCCACATCCAAGTACATTGTAATAGACTTTATTTTGATCAAATCTTAATCACACCATCCTTTTTAGCAATCTAAATAAATACCTTGTTAATGCCCTGGCATGTTGATATTGAGGGTTATAAGACTAGAACCAGAAACTCTTCAATTAAAATGCCTAACTCTGATACTGATTTCCTCCTAGTATTGGTCAGTCTTCATCTTGTGCTAAGTTTTCTGTCTCTAAAAGTCTAAAGTTTTCTGACTTGAAAAGTCTGCTTGCACGTGTCACATAGGAAGTTTTCCTAAGTGAGTGCCATCAACTTATGCAGGATCTAAGCTTTCATGTTTAAAAATAAATAAATTAAATCTGGCCCTTGCACTTGCAAAGAGAACCTTCCGAACTTGAACAGTGTGTAGAAATGCTGTGCTTTCTTAAGTTTGTAAACAGACTCTGCTATTACTATTGTTAAGTTTTTCCAAGTTATGACAGTGTGAAAACTTATCTGATTCTTATCAGCTTTCAATGCTAAGCAGAACCCCCACGTAATAAAATCAGTTTTACCTGTTGGTGTTTGGGAAGTCACTGAAGCTATCCTCACAGGAAAAGCACTCAAAAATAGAGGATGGGGAAAAGAGATACAGTAACAGATACTTCCCGCTTGACAGCAACCAGAAAGTTGAGGGAAAGGAGTAGTAGTAAAGGACACCTCTACTGTAGCAGGGACAGGTCACGGGCAATAAACAAAAATTCACGGAAGCCCATGACCTGTCCCTGACTTTTACTAAAAAATAACTGACAAAATGTGGCTAAGCCCAAGCCCTGCTATGGGAGGGTAAAGAAGGGGGGGAGGGGTCCAGTGCCCGCCGGCATGGTGGCTAGAGCACAGGTGTCTGCCCGGGAATGGTGGCTTGGAGCTGCGGGGGTCTCCCGCCAGCTGACAGCTCCAGCTTCGCTGTCCTGGGGCTGACACAGAAAATGTCACTGAGGTTACAGAAGTCTAGGATTCTGTGACCTCAGTGATATAATCTTAGCCTTAATCATAGGACTGGAAGGGAGCTCCCAGAGGTCATCTAGTCTAGTCCCCTGCACTCATGGCAGGACTAAGTATTATCTAGACCAGCCCTGACAGGTGTTTGTCTAACCTGCTCTTAAAAATCTCTAATGATGGAGACTCCACAACCTCCCTAGGCAATTTATTCCAGTGTTTAACCACCCTGACAGGAAGTTTTTTCCTTATATCCAACCTAAACTGCCCTTGCTGCAATTTAAGACTATTGCTGCTTGTTCTATTCTCAGAATTTAAGGAGAACAATTTTTCTCCCTCCGTCTTATAACTACCTTTTATATATTGACAATTGTTATCATGTCCCCACCTCAGTCTTCTCTTCTCCAGACTCAACAAACCCAATTTTTTCAGTCTTCCCTCATAGGTCATGTTTTCTAGACTTTTAATTATTTTTTGTTGCTCTTCTCTGGACTTTCTCTAATTTGTCCACATCTTTCCTGAAATGTGGCACCCAGAATTGGACACAATACTCCAGTTGAGGCTTAATCAGCATGGAGTAGAGCGGAAGAATTACTTCTCATGTCTTGCTTATAACACTCCAACTAATACATCCCAAAATTATGATTGCTTTTTTGCAACAGTGTTACACTGTTGACTAATGTAGCCACACTTTTTTAGCTGCCAGTGGTGATGGCCAGTGAAGCACTTCAAATGTACAAGACATTTCCAAGCTGAATGCAACACACCAGATGACGTGTTTGAGCAAGGTCCAGGCATAGCACTCTGGTGAGAATCCCAGCATTTTTTCCTTTCCTAGTAGCTGGAGGCACAAGTGTGGCTCCTCAACTGGGCATGGCACTGGATGGATGGATGGTGGAGAGCTGTATCTTCAGTACTTCCATGTGGCCAGTTAGCTTTAGTACTAGTTGTAGATGCAGCCTTTGCGTTATTAGATGTCTAGTAAAACCTCAATGTCTGATGCTATGGGAGTTTGGGGACTTGTATGGATTATACTGTTACTTCAGGAAGAAAGTATCAAAGATCTTGAGGGGGAGGGAGAAGGGAAGGGAGCAAAATATAGCGTAGACAGTAGAAGACAGTGTGTGGAAGGAAAAGCGAAATGGTCTGAAAACAGTCTGTCCTGATGTACTGTACACAGCTTTTAATTTGGTGTGAGCCCATGAAAGTGAAAAAATACATTTCAGCATGTTGGTTTTGGGAGCATGGCCTGGCAGCAGAGATACTTTTCACTGTGGTTAGTAAGTTAAGTC